ATTATACAATTTTTTTTTTTTCAGGGAGAATATTCTTTTCTACTAGTTTAGTAAAATCTTGGTCATCATATTTAAGAAGAACAGAATCTAATTCTTCCATCATTGGCAAAAAAACTGTTTGTCTATATTGCACCATATCCTCTCGCTTGTGTTTATTTATATATATATCTTTTCTCCACTTTTTACACTTCCAACCTAATTTTCTAAGCCATTCCCACACTGTTTTTTTACATATTGTTGTTTTTTTTTCAATACCTAAGGATGGAAATACTTTATTCTCTACATACTGTTTTAAAACTTTAGAATTTATACTAAATTTGTGACTTCTTAAATATAATATTACCTGTTTAAATATAATTATTCTAAGTTACAAAGAATTAAAACATGTAAAAAAATTTGCTATAAAAAAAAAACAAAATATATCTTTATGGATATTCTTTTATCATCAAGAAGGCTTGATATCTTTATGAATTTGTTACGATTATCTTTAGGAAGTTTTCACTACTTTAACCAATTTTGTGTCTATGTACCAATATATCGTACTTTATAATCTCTCCATTCTAATGAACTAGCAATCATTATACTTGCTTTTATTTTAGCCTGATCGTGATAGTATCTTAATCGTAAATATTGTAATAATGCTTGCAAATGAACCCTTACATCTTTATTTATTTAATTGTCATTTGTTTCTAACAATCCATCTAGTTTCTCAATTACTAATCTTATTTTTGTTTGTCATCAATTTCAGCTGATGTATCTGCTATTGATTCTACCAATTCTACCTCTATTGATTCTACCAATTCTGCTTCTATTAATCTTACCAATTTCACTTTCATTAATCCTACCAATTTTGTCTCCATTGATTCTACCAATTCTGTTTCTACTGATTTTACCAATTTTGTCTTCACTGATTCTACCAATTCTGCCTCTATTGATTCTATGAAATTTGCTTCCATTGATTCTACCAATTCCACCTCAATTAATTTCACCTCTATTGATTTACTTTCTATTGATTTTACTTCAGTTGGCACATATAGTTCTGTTGACAATCCAAAGGTAGAAGTTAAAGCAGAGGCAATATTAAAAGATATTAAGACAGAAGTTAAGTATGTAGTAATAGGTTGAATATTTTGTGTAGCCTTCTTTAGTTTTGCTTTTTTGCATCTTTGAGTTCTTTTAGAACCTTCAACATATATTGTTCTGCTCAAAGGTTTTCAAACATTTATATTTTTACCTGCTGTCAATAAAACAGCAAAATAATCAGAAGCCCTTTTATCAATATTATTATCTAACCAAATATAATTATCCAGATTTTCATAATTTGCATGCTTTGAATGCTTATTGGTCTTAGCAACTTTAAGTTGCTGCCTTTATTTGTTTGAACAGGTAATGATAATGAAAATAAAATAAGTGAATTGGAGTAAAATTCTAATTGTTCTAATCAAAACTTTTTGACTGAGATTAAGTTGATTTGAAGTATAGATTAATTATTAGATAGTTTTAATATTTTTTTTTATTTTATTTTATTTATTTATTAATATTTTTTTTTATTTTTTTATTTTATTTTATTTTATTTTATTTATTTATTTTTTATTTTTTTTTTAATTGTTTAAATTTTTTTAATGGACAAGTTTAACCTGCTTAGCTAATAATAATGATATATCTAAAGAAATACTAGTATTTGTGATGAAAGTTTTTAGGTAAGTGTTTATTACTTTTCATTCAATCCACTTTGTCATACTTCAACTATGTAATTTCATCACTCTTCAACTTCGAATTGAATCAAAATTTGAGGTTGGGCTATCTTTATTGTTAAATTATTTATTACTTTTGCCCTAATATAGTTATTATCATTTTTGCACAATTAATATTACATTTTATCTTTTTTTTTTTACTCTGATAGTTGCCGTCATTTTTGCATAATCAATATTATATTTTATTTTTTTATTTTTTATTTTTTTTGCATTTTATTATTTTATTGTATATATACCAATAA